TGGGTGGACACCTCCGCCTCCTCGCTTGGCTCTCCTCTCCTCTTCAGCTGTCATCCCTGGAGGGAGGTGGGAGGATCGTGAGTCAGCAGGGAGGAGACAGCTCTGGGACACCACCTCCCCCTGGGTCAGCTGGCTGTCACCCACCCTCCGCGTGTGGCCGGTGGGACCGAGCACCTGCTTTGTGCCAGCCCTGCTCTGGGCTCGGGGACCCCGCTGTGCTCAGAGAGGAGAGGTGGCTTTGGCTGCTGGGGAAGCAAAGGAGCAGCACAGAGCAGGGCATGGGGGCGGGAGGGCACTGTGTTTGGGGGATCGCTGAGTAAGGCGTCCGTGGGGAGGGGCGCTGAGACTTGTACTGACGATGTCTGGCAGAGAGCATGTCAGCCAGAGGACAGAGAGCGCACAGATTTGGGGGGAGTGGGTGGCGGGAGCCCAGTGAGCCTAGGGGAGCGTGAGTGGCTGGAGAGGAAAGCAGATTGTGGGTCCCTGTAACCATATCGGGGGGGGTTTCATTGGTCATTGCCAGTGGGTCCCTGTAACCATATTGGGGGGGGCTGGGTTTCATTGGTCATTGCCGGTGGGTCCCTGTAACCATATTGGGGGGTGGGTTTCATTGGTCATTGCCGGTGGGTCCCTGTAACCATATTGGGGGGGGTGGGTTTCATTGGTCATTGCCGGTGGGTCCCTGTAACCATATTGGGGGGTGGGTTTCATTGGTCATTGCTGGAATTACAGTCTCTCCTGCTGGTGTTGGGAGAAGGGACTGGGAGGGAGGAGGTGGGGAGGGGGACCCAGGCTGGGCGTCCACACAGCAGGCTCACACCCATGTTCTCGGGGGAGCAGAGAGGGTGGGGCAGGAGAACTGACAGAAGTGGGTGACAGACAGGTCAGGAGGGAGGGGGAGAGGCGCAGAAAGAGAGACTCCGGGTTTTGACCTGGTGATTCGGGGAAGTCAGGCGCCATTCGTCATGGGGTACAGCCTGGGACGGCCGTCTGGCTCGGCCACGGGAAGTGGGGTGTTCAGGTGAGCCCCGAGCCTGGAGCACAGCAGAGAGGTGGCAGGGAGAAGCTAGGGGTCCTCGCAGCAAGCTGAAGGCCGCGATGTGTGAGGGCACCGAGCGGGAGGGACGAGACCAGGCCACGAGGACCGGAGAGTTCTGGGCTCGTCCCGGGGGAGGGCCCACCGGCAGGAACAGGGCTCAGGACAGGGGCTGCCGTGTTCTGAGTGAGTGAACTGTGCTGGAAGCTTAACTCTGGCCGTTCTCTCAGGACAAACAGCATTTTGTGTGGTCGGGGTTTGGTGGCAATTGGCAGCAGGACTTGTGTCTGACCACACGGGCTTCACACTCTCCGTGGCCCCGGCGTGGCCCCGACAGCAGCCTCATGAGAGGACAGGGTCACTCTTCCCCCACAGGCGACGGGCTGGACGGGCTGGCGGCAGCAGGAGGAAGGGATGGGCCTCCTTGCCCATAGTTCTCTCCAGAAGGTTCTGGAACTTCTCCGAGACTTTTACTTACCTCACTTTCCCCTCCACAGCCCAGACCACCCTCCTGGGCTCTCTCCCCCACGCCTCTAACACCAGGCCAGGCCTCCCAGACTTTGGGGGATCATCTTCAAAGGTCGTGCTCTCTTGGGGTGGGATGACCGCTAGCATCGTCATGGAAATTCCACAGCACAGGGAGAAGCTGACGGACAAAGCTGTCCGACCCCCACCCACAAGGCCTGTCCTGGGTGGTGAACCCCAGAGAGCCTTGGAGCAGCCCAGGGAAGAATCGAGACCCCAGAGTCCCGCCGGGTGTGCTGCGCAGTGTCCTGCCCAGTCCCCAAGCTGGACGCCCCTCCCCCACCTCCCCCAGCCTTCCTGCAGCCTGCGCCCCGCCCCCCCCCCCCCCCCCAGCAGAGGAGCGCTCGGTGGGGATCTGCCATTGTGAGCGCTCAGGGAAACTGACACTACATTGGGACTCCGCGGCTAATATATTTTCCTGCCAGAAACACCCGATAAAATGCACAACTAATGAATGAGATCGCAACATTGCCAAGAAGTGATGTGTGCCCCAAATTTCCAAAAATACCTCAATCCCTCTGTGTCTTAAAACCAGCCCCAAGCCAGGAAGTTAGTACTTAAAATTCAACTGGGGACTTGGATCTGCGGAACTCCAGGCCCCGGCAAGGGGTATGTGGTTGAGACAGAAACCACGAAGCCGCCTGCTTCAGGGCTTCCGAATCCCAACCGAGTCTCCTTGAACCTGGGGGCTGGGACCTCCTCCCAGCTGTATCCAGACCGCGGAGAGTGGGGCTCCGGGAAGGGTCTGGTCCCTGAGTCAAAGGTTCCGTGGAGGATCTAGAATCCCCGAATCAGTAGTTACAGAGGCGGGCCCGGCCACTGGGTGTGTGAACCCCTGACAGGTGGCGTTGCTGTGCCTTGGGACATTTTCCGGGGCTGTGAGAGGGGTGTCCACAGCCCACAGAGAGGCCTCAGGCTGGGAAAGGTTGGGACCAGCCTTGCTCTGAGCCTCCTAGGGTGCCCTGTCCAGAAAGGCTGCCTGCCCTTCACAGACTGGAAAAAGGAAGCCAGAGGTCAGCAGTACACCCGTCTGGGAAGGGTAAGAACGGGGGGCCCAGAGCCAGCCTGATTCAACCCTGCTAATGTGAAATGAGAGTGGTCGTTGCTGGACGCTGGGATAGCTCCGGGCATTGCCCCTGTGGTTGAAGAGATAAGGAGGCGCACAGACCAGTAAGATACAAACCCACTCTCCATCCCGCTGTGGCATCAGGGAATGCTCCCTGGAGGAGGCGGCAAGCCTCTGCTTCTTCTCAACGAACAGGTGGGGCTGGTTATGCAGAAAAGGAGCTGGGCGCTGAAGGAAGGGACAGAGCGTCTGAAATAGGAGAGTCCGGGGCTCTATGCAGGAATTCCTGGCTTGGGGGTTTCGGTGCATGGTGAAGGTGCCCTCGGATCCCCAAGCCCCTGCCTGTCCTACCACCTTGGTCTCCCACAGTCTTTGCCCGGCGCTCCGTGGGGCCGTGGGCAGGAAGCTGCGGGTCCCTCACATCCCGGCGGCTGTCACCTCGGCGCCCTCCTGCAGGGCCAGCTCCTGCTCCCGGGGCTGCGATCAGAGGAAGCCTCGGGGGGCCTGCTGGCCCTGCGGCTCTTTGATGCCCACTCAGCCACTGCTACTGCTGCCTGTCCAAGCTCAGGCTCAAGCAGGAGCCCCCAGCCCAGACACAGCCCCGGGGGGGGGGGGGGCAGTGTGCTGGGCCACAGGAAGAACTCCGGTGTCCCTCCTCAGGTCCCTGAGCCACCTCCCTCTTGGGCGTATGGCAAGGATGCCGTGAACTTGAGGTGGGAAAGAGCTGAGACCAAGTGAGAAGAGGCCACCGGGTGTCTCGGCAGGACCTGAACCTGGAGCCAGGGTCCTGGCTTCCGGCCCAGGCTCTGTCCCTCCCCAGACACACAGCTTCGCGCAAGTCCCAGCTTCTCCGTGCACAGTCTCCTCACTGTAGACGGGGGACCCTGCCCGCCCCGCTCCCCGGCCGGCGTGGGCACCCAATGAGATAATGGCTGAAAGTGCTTCGACGAGAACCCCGTGCTGCCGATGTCAGGGATTATCGTCGTTATTAAGGAGCGTGATTACCGCCATCCAGAAGAGCTGCCATTAGGCGCAGGCTCCTTGGTCGTGTTGATTTAATTTCCTGGTTAACTGAGCGTTGGCAAGAAAGAAAAAAACCCTATGTTTCAACCCTTATTGAAAATCTTTTCAAATGACACCAGTCGACTTTCTTGCACTGGCCGTGTGCCATCGTGAGTCTGTGTAGTAACACATTGATTGATTCACATATTCATTTATTGCGCTCGTTCTGACCACACCCTCAGAGGTGGCTGCAGACCCCGCCTCCGCCAGGCCTGGGGTCCTCGTGCCCACGTGGGGCTCGTGGTCAGGTGTCAAGCAGGGAGAGCAGAGGACACAGCTCTGGGAAGAGAGCGCAGGAAGGGACCTTCCAAGAGGCTCTTTCTGGAGTTCCCAGCAGCATCTTGATACATTGTTGCAAGTTTCCTTAGTTCAGGAAATGCCTTCTGGTGGGATAGAAGCTGTTTCCTGGGTTTTCCCAGCTGCCTTATAAAGTTACCTGATTGCTTTCGAACGAACGTGTCAGGCCTGATGTGGCCAAACGCTGGCCTTGCTTTTTGGGGACCACAAAAAGCCCTGGAGGGTGCTGAGCTCCTCGCGTGGAAGCTGCCCCCCTTGCAGAGGCCCCTCGGCTGTCACCGTCAGAGCTGGTGGTGGGCAGAAGGGGACCGAGAACACTTGGAATCGAGTCCAAGGGGAAGAGGCTGACCCGTTTCAGTAGAACCACTCGGCGACAAACAGTGCCTTCGAAGTTTCCCCGTTCGGACGCCCCAGTGAGGGTTTCAAGGCCAAGTCCCCAGAGGCTGTGAGTGGCAGCTGCCTCCTGGGCGATGCTTGACGGGAATGTGCTAATAGGGCTGTTCGCACGGGCAGAGGGGTGTCCGCCCTTAGGGTCAGGATGCTGTGGGCCCTGGGACTCGGTTTCCCCTCGGGAAGAAGCGGGTGGCAATGTCTGCGTCGGGGGTGTCGGCGCGCTGTGGTGAGGACGTGTGTCGAGCGTGGGTCAGGCCCTGGGCTCCTGGGCAGCTGTTGGCATGAGGTCCTAAGGTCTGGGAGGTGGGGCTGAGATGTGTCTGACCTCGTGTGTGGTCTTCATTGCCTGGGAATTACACTATGTATAGGGAAGTGGTTTTCAACGGGGCCGTTTTGTCCCCCAGGGTCCACTGGGCCATGTCTGGAGTCCTTTCTGGCCACAGCTGTGGGCTGGGTGTAGCGGGGCTGGCAGGTCGATGCCAGGTCAGCCCTGCTCAGGGAGCCGTCTGACTCCACGTGCTGTGGGGCCGAGGGCAGCGAACCCGGTGTCTGCGCCTGGCGGGGAGGGGCTGGTCAGACGCCATGCCACCCTCATGCGGCCACTCTCTGCTCTCCCCCCAGAACCCCGACATCGTCCTGGTGCACTATCTCAACGTCCCGGCCATCGAGGACTGCGGCAAGCCCTGCGGCCCCATCCTCTGCTCCATCAACACTGACAAGAAGGAGTGGGCGAAATGGACGAAGGAGGAGCTCATCGGGCAGCTGAAGCCCATGTGTGAGTAGGCTCGGCCGCCGGGCCCGAGGTCCTGCACCGGGGCCCAGGCCAGCGTCGTCCAGGCGGGGCCTTGGGGACCCAGATGTGGGAGCCCCCTTCCACTCGGATGGCGGTGACACGGTGAACTAGCTTTGATGAGGGTCACCCCCACCCCACCCTGTACGATCCTCACAAGCTCCGTACGCGATGGGCAGGGCACGGAATGCCCGGCCCCTATCACGGGTGGAAAAGTGCGGTTCCTAGGCACACGCACAGGGAGGAGCAGGGCCAGGAGTGCGGGGACTGCTGTCTCCTGGGAGGCGGACAGGAGAACCGCGGCATCAGGGTGGGAAGGGCCTGTGGGACCCAGGAGGGGTGGCCGGAGCTGGCTCTCCTGCCCTCGGCCCGTCTGCTCCTGGACCGGAGGCCGCGGCTCCCAGACCGGCTGGCACATGGATGATGGTAATCAAGCTGCATTTCATTTTGTCAGCAAAGTGATGCTTTCTGAAGCATCTGTCAGGTGCAAATCACAGAATGCAGAACTCCAAGTGAGTCCAGAAAGCTGGGCCTTGGCCGGTGCCTCGTTTCCATGGGCCTTGGCTCCTGGCGGCCACTGCAGGTTCTTTCGGTGGCTTCTCCTGCCACCTGGACACCTGGGCTCAGGAAGAACAGACTGGGGGTCAGCCAGATCCAAGAAGAGGTTCTGGAACATTGACCAAGAAGAGGTTCTGGAACATTGACCGCGGGCTCAGGACAGAGATCTGTCATCATATGGGACTTCAGAGAGCAGACCAGCAGGTCCCCCGGAGCCCGCGCCTCCCTTGGAGGCGGGGCTGCAGGGAAGAAGCCGTTGGGAGCAACCGAAATGTCCTTCCCTGGAAGGAGTGTGTCCCGTCTCTGGGAGTATCTGAGCCGAAGCCAGGTGGTACCAGCAGTAACCAGCTAATCTTGAGAGTTCCTCAGTGCTCAGACTGGGGGCTCCCCCTTGTCCCAAGGTTGGGAATGGGGATCAGGAGAGACAGAGGGGTCTGTATGGGGAGGGAAGCCACCAGCCCGGGTGGCCCAGGGGCTGGACTCCAGCTGGAACTCATTCTCATGTCACCCTCCTGAGCCAAGAGCCCCATGAGGCTCCGGCCAGCTCACCCTGATGCTGCTGCCACCACCAGGAACACAGAACCAGGTGGCCCAGGGCCTTCTGAGCTCAGGCTGTGTCTCTTCCCGATGGCCAAGGGGATTAAGCTCCATGAATCCCAGGAGTGGAAGACGGACCTCTGCCGCTTACCTGAAAGTCCCCATGGCCTATTCAAAAGTCTGCAGCGCATCCAGACAGTTATGTAAAATTACAGCAGACGCCCGGTACGTCTTGTCACCCCGGACTCCCCGAGCGGCGCACGGACACGCGAGTGCACGTGTGTGTGTGGCCCTGGTCACAGACGCACGGCCTGGAAACTCGGCCCGGAAAACGCAGCTCCGATAAAAGCTCGCAGTGCCGACCAGGCTGGGAACATGCACGGGGCATGGCTGACGTGTTCGGGGGACGCAGAGATGCCGGAAGCCAAGAAGGCATCGGACGTGGTTCCAGAATCGGGCGTGCCACCCAGCACTGGAGCCAAACACATTAGCTTCATCGTATTTTCACATACATGCCTTCCTTCGAAGACTTCACAGTTTGATTTCCTGATGTCTCCTCACTTCTCTACCCTGCAGCAGAGTCGTCAGTGGCTTAATCAAATCGCTGTGCTTCTCAGCGGCGAAGGGACACCCCAGCTGCAGCCTTTGTCACCTGCTGCCAGGCGGGGGCTCGCGGTCTTTAGCTTTGGGGTCTCACAAACGCCTCCGAGTAAGCCAGACGGACCCCGGAACCCCGCCTTGATTCTCCCAGCGGTGTCCTTTGGTCCCGTGGGGGCTCGCCTCCAACCTGCAGTGTGAGGGATGTCTCTGCCAGATTTTTTAAAACGGGGAAAAAATGTGATATCTGATAGGAATTCCCCATTGGCTTCTCTTCCCGTCTTTGCAATCCCTTCTGTGGTCGTTAGAATGCGGGTTCTACTGCGGTGACAGAGACGAAGGAACTGGTGGCTCATAAGACAGAAGGAGATTCCTCTCTCACGTAGCAGTCCAAGGTTGACATGGCCGCCCCAGTGTCAGGGAGCAGCCCCCCGGGCTCCTTCCAGCTGGTTGCTCTGCCATTCCTAGGGAGTTGCCCTCTCTTACATGGCCCAATGTGGCTGCCCCAGCTCCTGCCATCACAACTGCATTCCAACCAGAGAAAGTGGAGGGCAGTTGTTTTCCCTTTTGGGACAGGATCCAGATGTGGCCCACACTTCTGTTCATATGTCACTGGCCAGAATTTGGTCATATGGGCACCCCTGGTTGGAAGTATGATCTTTTGCTAAGCACTACCATCCTAACATGCTTTGGCGAATAGGGTTCTGTGTGTGTCACTCCGGGCTGAGTGGAGCTGAGCTCAAGCTCGGTGCCGCTGTAGAACCTCAGCTGAGAACTCGTCTGGGCTCCAGGCCTGAGGATGGCTGACTCGGCCCCCCTCTGAGGGCTGGTGGTTAGAGAATTCAAATGAATGTGATCTAAAGCCCAGCATTTCCCATCCTGAAAATTCTGGGGTCCGTTCCAATGCAGCTGCTCTGAGCAAGCACCAGCTTTGGGCCCCGCAAACTGCCAGAGCGTGAGAGAAGGCTGGGCAGGTGGGATCCTCTGCTCCCTGGTGGGCGTGGGACAGAGTGCCAGACAGGCTCTGTGTCTGTGTCCTGCCAGCCTGGTGGGAAACGGGCTCCGTGACCTTGGGCTGCCCAGAACCACAGTGGTTCTGAGCCGCTGTGCCCAGACCCGCCACCCTCGGCTCTCCTTCGGCCGGCAGGGAGCCAGTGGAGCCGGTCTCCTGGGAAAGGACCTGTTCCTCTGAGCGCCCATGGCTCTCTGCCCTGCCCCACTCCCTAGGAGCCCCGGGGTGCGGGGCCTGCCATTCACTTCCCAGCTGGCAGTCGGTGAGCATGTGCCGTACAGAGTGAGGGGTGAGGGCTTGGGTTTTAAGCTGTGTTCGCAGCCCCTCCCCGAGATGTCATCGTGCCCCAAATGTCCCCACCCAGGCTTACCAGATGGCCCTGCACTGCCGAGCAGCGCCAGGGGCTTCCTGTAGCTTACATGGCCCCCGAGAGCATCAGGCAGCCCCACCAGTCACTGCTGGGCTTGGCCCTACTCCGACAGCCTTCCCTGGGCGCTGAGGCTGCTTTTCCAGGGGCCCGAGACCTCTGTGGTGGCGTCCTCAGCAGCACTGGGTGGCCAAGCAGGAGGGCTTGCTGGGAGCCTGCATAGCCCCAGGGTCTGCACCCACACACGTGTTTCCACATGTGTGCTTGTGTTCACCCGTGCACAGGATCGCCCTTGTCACCCACACGCACATGGCCCCACCACCACTGCGCCCAGAAGCAGAGACCAGCGGGGCTCAGGTGGAGGGGCAGGTGCTGAACAGCTCCTCCTGCAAAGGGGATAAATGGGCTCGAGCGGCCATGAGGACGAGGGGAAGGTGTGCAGAAGGCCTTCCAGGAGATGGCCCTGCACAAGTCACTCAACCTCGCTGAGCCTCACCACCCTCCCTCGGGGGACAGCCCTACCCCGTGGTGCCATGGTTGTCAAATCCGTCATGGACAAGAAGCACGCGGGTGCTGGGGCTGCAGCTGCCCAGCTGCACACAATCAGGGAAGATCCCAGAGCCAGAAAGCCAGCCCTCTTGAAGTTGAGCTGTGTGCAAGGGTGGGCACTCACAGGCCAGCCGGACAGTCCTTCAGGGACTCCTGCACCCCCAACACTGGGCCGAAGCCGGCTTTTAGAGAGACCTCTCTGAGCTCGTCCCTGTACTGGCCCTGGGGAAGCTGCCAGGAGGGAGCGAACCCACGTCCTGCCCCCAAGAAGACAACCAAGGGGGCTGCTGCACCAGCAGCTGGATCCGGAGCAATGGCTTGAGGGTAAAGTAGATGGTTCTGCCTTCAAGGACCTAGGAATCCAGAAACACAAGCCCAGGAATAGTCAGCAAGCCTTCCTGGTAGGACTTGCCCTGCGCCCTGGTGAATGTCTGGGACGCGGGGCCAGGCAGGAGGCAGAGAGGTGTTCCCACGCAGGTCTGTGTGGGACAGCGTGAAGGAGGACACAGAGGCGAAAGTAGACACGTGGGTGGCACTGAGGTGATGGACTGTGTCACCTCTGAGGCTTTACGGGCAGATGGATATGCAGCGATGGAGGTCATGTTAGGGTGAGAGGGTAAAGGTCGTGTTGATAGTGAGGAGGCAGAAGTCATGTTGAGTAAAAGGGAGCGGAGGCCAAGTTAGTGTGAAAGGGTGGAGGTTATGTTGAATTTGAGGGGTGAAGGCCATGTTGAGAAGGAGGTGATAAAGCCTATGTTGAGTGTGAGGGAGCCATGTTAGGTACAAAGTGATAAAGGCCACGTCGACAGCAGGATTGGAGGCCACACGGAGTGAGGGCAGGGAGGCGTGTTGGGTATGAGGTTGGAGGTTGTGTTGACTGTGGGGATGGAGGTCATGTAGGGTGTGGAGGGGATGGAGGCCGTGTTGGGTGTGGAGGGGATGGAGGCCATGTTGGTGTGGGGATGGAGGCCGTGTTGGGTGTGGAGGGGATGGAGGCCGTGTTGATGTGGGGATGGAGGCCGTGTTGGGTGTGGAGGGGATGGAGGCCGTGTTGAGTGTAGGGATGGAGGCCATGTTGGGTGTAGGGATGGAGGCTGTGTTGAGTGTAGGGATGGAGGCTGTGTTGAGAGTGGAGGGGATAGAGGCCGTGTTGAGTGTGGGGATGGAGGCTGTGTTGAGAGTGGAGGGGATGGAGGCCGTGTTGAGTGTGGAGGGGATGGAGGTCGTGTTGAGTATAAGGATGGAGGCCGTGTTGAGTGTAGGGATGGAGGCTGTGTTGAGAGTGGAGGGGATAGAGGCCGTGTTGAGAGTGGAGGGTATAGAGGCCGTGTTGAGAGTGGAGGGGATGGAGGCCGTGTTGAGAGT